TTGGAGTGGCGAGGGGTGTTGGAGTGGCGAGGGGTGCTGGGGTGGCGAGGGGTACAGGGTGGTGAGGGGTGTTGGAGTGGCGAGGGGTGCTGGGGTGGCGAGGGGGGCTAGGTTGGATAAGGCTATTAGGGTGGTGAGGGGTGCTGGTGTCTATCTCCAGCTGTCTAGGGGGAGAGGCTGCTCCCACCCTGGACAGGTCTCCAGTCCATCACAGGTTCATGTTTATATCCCAAAATAAATGTCTAAATGAGACTGAATGAAAATGATAAAGGGAAACTAGTAGGAGTGAAAACAGATGTTTACCTAATAGCCTCATTTCTCAATTACCAATTATTATGCTTCCAAGAATTTCAAATAATGTGTAGTATATATTCTAGTTTATATACTAGAATAAAAAATGAAAAACATCACTAAATGTCTGTCAGATCCGTTTTTACAGTCAAGATAGTGGGCAGTGAAAATAAACCTGCAGTGGGGGGAGGAAGGTCTTCAGACGGGGAACCGAGTCATAAAAAGGTATTCATGGAAGAGGAAATAATAGGCAACATTTACTATTAGAAATTCAGTAGAGTTTATTTTATTTCTACAGGGATGGTAAATATCTGGTTCTGTTGGGTTGCAGCACATTAAAGAGTTAAAGTTAATAAAACTTCAGACAAATGCGCTAAAAGGGCTTTAGATGGAGCATTAAGAGTAACGATTCAGTTTGGAAAAATCTGTTATAAAGAGCAAAGAAAGAGAAATATGGAAAAAGGGCAGGATGATGATGAGGAGATAGGAATGTGTTAGTATAAAAAACATTTCTCCACTGTGAGATCAATAAAATCTATTTAATCAATCAATTATAAAATATCATTGATTAAAATAGAAGGAAAGAAATAAAAATGACCAGAAAACAGTAGAAAATACCGATCTAAATGATATTCTATATTTGACGTTTGGAGAAATAATGATAACTGAGAGGAAAGTATGAAAATATGATTGATAAAGGATGAGATTAAGGACAATGCAGGGCAGGAGGGAGTCTCAAAGGATTGTTGGGAACCGAAGGAAACATAAAGGAAACATATTTAGTAACAAATCCATTATTTATTGATTGATCTTTATTATACAACTTAGAAACAGGGAATTCAGGGACGTGAGTCCATGTTGCTTCACACTCATTAACAGTAGGTGGCGGTGTGNGAAATAATGATAACTGAGAGGAAAGTATGAAAATATGATTGATAAAGGATGAGATTAAGGACAATGCAGGGCAGGAGGGAGTCTCAAAGGATTGTTGGGAACCGAAGGAAACATAAAGGAAACATATTTAGTAACAAATCCATTATTTATTGATTGATCTTTATTATACAACTTAGAAACAGGGAATTCAGGGACGTGAGTCCATGTTGCTTCACACTCATTAACAGTAGGTGGCGGTGTGCACCTTCAAATTGCTTGCGATCCGCCATAATAGAAAATAAGAAGAAGTGTCACGTGATCAACGTCACATGACCAGGCGCTGCGGACGGCTGGCTAACGCTGAAAAATGGCTGCGTTTCTACAGTGGAGGAAGTTTGTTTTCTTCGATAAGGACGCGGTGAAGGATCCCACAGATGGAGGGAAACTTCTGCTTCTTCCCAAAGGAATTTCAGCCAGCGACTCCGGCCGCGGCCATATTGTTTTGGGAGATATCCTTTGCTGCAGCTAATGTTGTGCTAGCAGGGTTAAAGTCAGATACATTGACATCTATCTACAGAAATCTGCTAATGTAGCAACAAGTTTGAGCTAAAATCAATATCCTGACAAACAGGNCGCTAATCATTGAGGGAGGCGACCTGAGGCTTCTTTGGGACTGGAATAATGGAGGCAGACTGGAAGCATGCTGGCACTATGGATTGGTCCAGCCAGGTGTTAAAAATGTCTGTGAGGACACCAGCCAGCTGATCTGCTCACTCTCACTTTGGTGAGAGGTGACCTGGAGCATGAACCCACAGCTAGATGTGAGGTGGAGAGAGGGAGCATGCACAGAGCGGGGAGAAGAAATGAGTAAAGAAGAGTCTTTAGTTTGTGAAGTTTGGGGAAGAAAAACAGCAGCCAGGTGGAGGAGAAGGATCGAGGCTCAGGAGATGAGAATGGGAGCTGAAGCGGCGGAGAACTAGAGTCAATGACTTGACTCGAGTCGCCAGATTTGTGACTAATGACTTGCTTGATTAAAACTGCAATCGTGTTCACTCTATTATCATTATTAGCAAATAAATTATTAGATAATCATTGCTTTATTTTGCATCAGTGCTCCTGACCTGCAGGATATCAGCAAACCTGGCAACCGTTCTTCCAGGCAGAGTACGGAAGGGAAAACCTGCATCTGATGAGTGACCAGTGAAGATGGACACCACTCTGCCGGTAAAAAAACGACACGTTAAACGACAAAAAATAAAAAGGAGCTATGTGTGAAATCTTAATGTTACAATGAACTGATAGTGAAAGCTCTACATTGAATTTCATCCGGCGTTTTAGAACAGCGCATAAAGAAAGGTGAGCTTCCTGTTGATTCGGGTTTATTTATGCGACTTTCTGTAGCTGCTGGCAAGATAAAACTAAACTAGTGTTATAATGTTAGTATTTCTGTTGCTGAGGATTTGTTTGACTCCGCTTAAATATAAACATGTACCAGAGGAAAGAAGCTAGAGCTAGCATACGTGCCTTGCAGGCGGCCATCTTGGGTCAGACTACAGTACAGACAGCTGCTGTCAGAATGAATAGAAGGCGCCTTAGATTAGAGAAGCTCTGATCCTGATCTGTAAGATCATTAATCAGCCCTGCCTCTGTCTAGCCCTCTGCCTGCCTACAGCCTCTGGACCCTCCCGGTTCCCCCCTTCTACCGTTCTGCTCAACCTCTGATCAGGTATAGACCTGCACACACTCAACCTGCAAGATCACTGGAAGACTGCTAACCAATCTGTCCCTCTCTGCAGTGAAAACCAGTCGTGACCAGACCCGGACATGATTTATTCCCATATCAGTATTCATTCTCTGTGAAACTCTCAATAAACATTGTGAACTTTTTCCCAGCCTCCTGAGTGTTCTGCATGTGGGTTAGATCCCTAAAGACAAACATGACAAACTTTCACATTCCCAGAAGTTCTGGGCGAGGAGGAGGAGTATCAACAACCTCTCAGTCTGACTTACTGATTGCTCCAAAGGCAGTTAAAGGTGGTTTTTTTTACATTGGGCCCTTGATTTTAAAGGCACACTATGCAACATTTTTCAGTTAATTAATGTGTTCCATAACGTTTTGGATGACTAAATGAGTCATTTCAGGTTGAACAAAGGTATTCTCGGCCGCCCTGGTGGTCTGTGGGGGAAATAC